TGTCAGCAATTTACGTAGAAAAATGAGCGACATTCACAGCCGAGTTCGTTTAAACATCCAGAGTGCCAGTGATAGAATGAAAGAGGCATACGACATCAAGGCGGAAAATGGAGGATTTCAACCTGGAGACCTAGTTTGGTTATACAACCCTCAGCGCCATCGTGGTTATTCACCGAAGCTGCAGACTTCTTGGGAAGGACCATATGAAGTCATGGATCGAATAAATGACATCATCTACAGGATCAGGAAACAACCAAGAGGAAAGCCGAAAGTGATCCATTTCAACCGATTGGCCCCTTACGCTGGAAACAATGATCAAATAGACGATGCTAGAGTAAGGAGAGTTAATCCGCCGGAAGACGACTTGCCTTTTGAAGACCATGTATTTATATTCGAGCGGTAAAAAAGCTCGCTATGGTGTCACTCGAGAAGAACAACAAGATCTATTCACGGTTTCGGCCGATTACTCCTTGGCTCACTGTGTTGCGGAAGACCTTAGGATGTCCAGGGGAATAGCGGTTGTTTTTAAAAACAAGTTTGGACGGATCGACGAGCTACGAAGGCAGAATCCCAAAGTTGGAGAGGTGCTTGAAATTGTGAATAATGAGCAGATAGGCAATAGAAGTATCTTCTATCTGGTAACGAAGCAGCTCTCCCATCAGAAGCCAAACTACCGTGACGTATGGAATGCCTTAAATAAATTGAGGGATGCCCTTTTATCCAAGGACATCATGAACCTGGCGATACCGAAGATTGCTTGTGGACTTGACGGTTTAGACTGGAGAATAATTAGAAGTATGGTGGAAGTTATCTTCAGATTTAGTGGCATACACATTCTTGTCTGTTGCCACAACCCTAAAAGAACAACCGAAAGGAAGACCGTAGACTGCTACTTCTATAGGACGTCACAATGCAAGTTTGGATCTCTATGCAAATATCGCCATGGAGCTGAGGACCATTTTCGGGACGAAAATGTTTTAAGACGGGGGCAATGTAGCGAGTACCGCCCTGGATATCGGAGTGATGACTCATCGCCGATTAGTCATTGCCGGTGAGTCATCGCCGGTGACTCAGCGCTCGAATAATCGAGAGTGTGGAGCTCGCTGGAATGTTCCAGAAGACCTTGGCGCTGAATATATAAGAAACGGAGCAGCACACGCCAGTCAGTTATGATTTGGTACTCGCGACGAAATAAATAAATATAAGTGCAAATAAATAGACTCTTGAACAATAGTGATATATAAATAATTAGTAGTTAAGTGTTTAGTTAGTTTTATAGTGTTTTAAGTATAGTTAAGTTATTAAATAAATAGTTAAGTTCGTTAATTAACCAGTGCGTGTTTTTATTCACACTACGAACAGTTAAAAACGTTACAATACGTATTATAACTAGTGATGTCGTCTTGACTCTTGTCCTGTACAAGTCTTAGGCAACTCTTGCTTTGTCTTGGAATTTCAATACAAGACTCAACCATGTCTAAGTCTTAATTAAAAAATATTATAAAACACTTATCTTGACATGATAAGTCTGGATTATTAGGAACGTGAACCTGCATGTGCACTTGTTCTTTTCCGCTACCGTCTGACTATTTCTTTAATTGTGAAATAGTGCAGTCTTGTAAATAGTGTTATTTCTCCGAAGACAAAAGTTTTCACCCCCATGCAAGTACCTCCAGTAACTCCTTCCAATCCTCTAATTTTGAACTTGCTAACTACCAGATAATAAACAATATTAATATCGGTTTCAAAAACTACTGAAAAAATTCAACCTTCTTCATTCGATACAAGGAAACAGAAAAGAAGAAGAATTTTAAATAGAAAGAAAAGAAATTTTGTGAAGAGAATTGGACAAACATGTATTGGCTAAATGAGCCACAAAGGATGAAGACATCCAGGACTGGTGACACAAACATCAGTATACTTTCCAAACAATTGCCAAAATGGCCAGGGATCTGTACCAGCAGAACGTCTCTCCTCCATGGCTTTAATAACCATTACAAAGCATAGAAATAGGCTGGACGCAGAATCTGCTCGGTCATTACCATGTATAAATTCGTGGGCTACCTGTAGGCTTTGAAGTCGGGGCTACCATAGCTTCTAGCCAAAAAGGGCCCATCCTAAATTTGAAAACTATATTAAAACCATTCAGTTTTAATTTCATATTCTTAATACGTTCTTTAAGGCAACTTTAAATTTATATATTAAAACTTATTTGCATTTAAAAATAAACTTGCAGCAGACTAAATTACCGTAATCAATATAATTAATCCTAAAAACGGTTTTATTTTGTTTCCTAAAGTGGAACTAGGTAGTTTTGTTTAAAGTAGTCAATGACAGAGTGGTAATATTTAACATATATAAAGCAGATCATAAAAAATATTCAAATGCAAACTATTCTGATAAAATTTAACGGATGGCACTTTCCTGACAAAATATAATAAAATACTTCTACATAACTCGAGAGTCATCAATTTAATTTTTTTATTATTATTTTGCATGTTTTAACACAGCGTTCTTCAGTTATTTATTTATTGAATATGTCCCCTTCCGGAATTTTGTCGCCGGGCTGGGCCATACGCCCGATTTAGGCTAGTGGAGTGTGGGACCAGAAGGGAAAACATTTTGGTTTTTGAGGAACATTGGACTGATCGAAAAAAAGTACAATCCGAAAACCAGGGATTTAGTAGTTACTACCCCCATTCAATTGGGGTTTGGGTTCGCTGCTTGGACCTATCCTTGATGGTCTTGAAGTATTATCTGCTATAAAAGAAAAAAAATAAATTAAAAACCATTTTTTATACTTACACCTTTAAAACGCCCATTATCGTACATGTTTACATGACACTAACCCTTTCAGTACGGCTGACCTATATATCTGCTATATAGAAATTTGGCACACAGACGGCTCTCAGATAAATATGACACCGAGTTATTCATGCGCCATGGACTAATGTCATATATTTCGGATAACTTTTAAAAATCAATTTGCCCTACAGACGGCTGACCAAATAATCGTGACCACTTATCCGTGCCATACCAACGAACGACCGATATATCTGCCGGTGACGGAAATATACGACAGCCGTCGGGATGGCAAATTCAGTAAAAGGCCTAGGTGACTAGTGACCTTTTTCTATGGTGACTAGTGACCTTTTTCTATGGTAACTAGTATCGTTTACAGTGTCAGCAGAGAAGCAGGCAGGCCCTTCAAAAAAGCAATTTTAATTAAAGTTGTTTTTTTGGGCACACAATATGCATTATTTGTTTATTTTGTTTCACTTTAATAAATATTTATGCAATTTACGTCAAAAATTTATTTTAAAGCAAATACATAGTGGCAGATATATATGTCACCCGTCCACACAGCAAAACAAGCGAAAATAGTGCCGTCCTGAAAGTAACCTTTTAAATACACTTTGATAAGTTGTGGCTTTATGGCGCTTTAGTCACGGGCTGAATTTAGTTAATAAGTTAATTGACTGTTGTCAAATGTAATACAATCGTTAAAATAAATTGCCTTTCTTGTAAACTAATAATAAATGTGAACATTATTTTATTATCTCAATACAAAAGTATTAAATAGTTTCTTGACGCCAATATTTAAAAAGATTATATGAACGTTTGTACTGACCTATTGATTTCGCCGTAGTAATGTAGTTAACTAGATTTAAATGATAAAGCGTTAAAAATATTGCGTACAGTGCCCTTAAAACATTACCTTCCTTTTATTGTGAAAAACTGCTTCTATATCGATTGTTAGTCTTTTTTAAGGAATAACTTTTGATCTACACAGTAAAAATTTGAAATTTTAACGCCGGTAGATTTCCAAGTTAATTTAAATCATTTCCTGGATAATATTAAGTATTTGTCATAAAAAAGGTGAAGTATGCAACTCGTTTATAATCTTTTCTATGCACTTATTTAATTAAGCACTCGCTCGCAAGCTCACTCGTGCCTAAATAAAATTCCTGACTAAAATGGCGGTTATCAAACTTGATACATAATAAAGGTACTATTATCTACTCCTACATTGACGAGCTGTAACTTTATGGCATTTTAGTCACGGGCTGAAGTTCCCTTTATTATAAATTGGAAAAAAGTAATGTTAAATCCGTTGACATTTGACAGATGTCAAATGTTTAACAAATAAAATTGGCTAATTTTACAGTTAGGAAAAAAAAATGATGTGCAAGTCCCAATTTTTTAAACACAAAAGGTGGCAACCCTAAGCAGTTGGGACTTCACAATTTAAAAAATGTGCTTTAAAGAAATCCTTTGACATTTGACAGATGTCAAGTGCTTAACAAATAAAATTGGCTAATTTTACAGTTAGGAAAAAAGAATGATGTGCAAGTCCCAATTTTTTAAACATAAAAGGTGGCAACCCTGAGCAGTTGGGACTTCACAATGTGCTTTAAAGAAATCTATTGACATTTGACAGATGTCAAATGTTTAACAAATAAAATTGGCTAATTTTACAGTTGGGAAAAAAATGATGTGCAAGTCCCAATTTTTTAAACACAAAAGGTGGCAACCCTAAGCAGTTGGGTCTGCACAATTTAAAAAATGTGCTTTAAAGAAATCCATTGACATTTGACAGATGTCAAATGTTTAACAAATAAAATTGGCTAATTTTACAGTTGGGAAAAAAAATATGTGCAAGTCCCAATTTTTTAAACACAAAAGGTGGCAACCCTGAGCAGTTGGGACTTCACAATTTAAAAAATGTGCTTTAAAGAAATCCATCCATGCAAAATATAATTTAAAGGTTTTTTACTTTGGATGGGAGAATAAAAAAAATTGCCTTAAAACATTTAATACCTACGAAATTCAAAATTAATATTATAAAAAAAAAAAATTTAAAGTTTACTAAATATTGTAGTTTTTTATGCTTTTAAATATGCAGGTATTTTATAATAGGTATGCAAATATTTTTGTTGTTTTTTTAAGTACCTATATAAGTAAACGAACAAAATTCGGTCAACATTGATTTAAATAAGCATTTCCTCCAATAATTGGTAGTAAATTGGTTTTGGAAAGGCAAGCACAGAGAGCAGTGGAAGCGGGAGCAAGTTTTGGCGGCGTCGACCGACCGACCCCTCGGTTCATGGGGGTGGGTGGTGGCGGAGCGGCCGCCAGAGCTAAAGTGGGATTAGCAGAGCCGGAGCCAATCAAAGACTGGCAGAGGGTGCGTTCGTGTTTTGGGCCCCCGATTCTCTTCTCCGACAATAAAAGGGGAAACCGCAAGGAAATTCTGTATGCTCTCGGTGCCTTCTTGGAAACGTCTACGTGCTTTATTTATTACTAGACGTTTTGTTTTAGAAAACTTGGATTTAACGAGAATTTTTTCGTCAATTAATTTTTACATTTTTTGGTTACCTACTGAGTGTTTTTAAAAACGTGTTTCATTATCTGTGAAATTAAACTTTTTTAACAATATATGTACATACATAAAGTATATAGAGGGTGTCTCAGATTTTAATCGGGAAAATTTAATAGTCGATAGAAAGAAAAGAAGAAAAGTTTATATAAACTTGTAGATGGGCTTTAAAGCTTTGTTTTAGAAATTTAATATAAAAAGTATACCCTGTATCTCGAAAACAAAGATTTAAAGCATACAAGTTTATATAAACTTTTTGTATCATTTTTGTTCTATCGACCATTAAACAGCCTGTATATACTTTATAAACATTTTGTTATTTCATAGATATGGTTACGCCACTGCTTTTTTATGAGTTTGATATACCTATTCCCAGACAGCAATATGACGTCTTAATTAAGTCTGCATAAGCTCTATTTTATGATTTGGACGTCAAATACAACATCAGAAAGAAGTTTTTAAGAAGTTCTTAAGACTTTGAATGCGCCACCTATTGAACTAATCAAGACTTCTCAAAAAAGAACTCTTGAGGAACCCTTTTCTTTGACTTCGCAATTAAGCATTTTAAAGAGTCCTACTGTATAAACTTATAAAAAGACTTCTTTAGAATTTTCCGTTTTGGATATAGAAGTACTACTAGGGTACTGATGAAGAAATTGCATACTGGATCGTTGCTTATTTTGACATGTCAAGTTTATTTTATTAATTTTATTAAATTGTTAAATTTATTTTATTAAAATCATTTTAATAATTTGCTCGTATTCGCTTATTTTAGGAATTGCGATTACTTCGTCTCACTTTTGTTTAAATTCAAGCGTGCTCTTCACCGGCACCGATAGACGGCCTGTTTCGCTCTTTTGGAGCTCGTCAGTATCGGGTAGCCGTTTACCTAGGTCTAAGACCGTTTGGTATGGAGCACGCTCTAAATTCTACTTCGCCGCTTCTTATATCAAACACAAGCAGTTACAGCGGTGAGAAGAAAGTAATCGCATTACTTCTTACTACAAGTAAGAAAAAAGAATACTCTGTAAGCTCAAAATAAATTGTTTAAAAAGAGGTCAAGAAAAGATCTTCATTTGTACGTACAAAAATTGACTTCTTATTTATGAGTTCATTAACAGCTCAGAATTCTGAGCTCATAAAAAGGAGCTGTTTAAGACGTCATGTTAGAACTTCTACACGAAGTTGTTTAAAAGACTTCATACTGAAATCTTTTTGAATTGGATGCTGACTGGGTTTAAATTGGGCCATTAAAAATACAACTCTTCTTTTCTTGCATTATTTTTCTATTTTAAGTTTTAATAAAAAAAATAAAGTGGTTTATTAGCTCGTTGATTTGCTATTATTTTAAGAGTAATCAGTTCTGATTACCAAATCAATATTGAATATTTTAAAGAATATTGCTTGTCAGCGGATAGAAGATTTATCCAATTGTACATTTGTTATCATATACCGACTTCTGCACATACCATTTTAATACATGGTTCTTCAGTTATTGGTGAAGCAATATTCCCAATAGGTGAGCTATCCGAGGAAGCACAAAAAGCAAAAATTAAAGATATTAGAAAATTTAGAGACGCGTTTACAACTAAAGTAAATTTAAAAAGAGTAAATAAAGATCTTTTTAAGAGACTGATAATTAGTTCCGATCCATATCTAAGCAGTTTAGCTGTTAAAAGAAGAAAAATTAAGTTAAGTTTCGATATTCGGCCTTTTATATTAATACATGAAAACGATGACGGGAATTATGACTAGAATGATGATGATAATGATTACGAGAATGAGGACGATGAGTAAGTTAAAGGATGAAGCAGGTGAAAATAGACTCGAAGATTAAAGTGAAAATTGTAATTTAATTTTCTAGAAATAAATATAACCTTCTTAAAAGGTAAATATAGATAAATATATTTTTTATTAGTTTTAAGTTAAAATGCACCAGGAACTATACGTAATAAATTTTTGGAGCATTTTTATTTTAATGTAAATTTGCAACCCCCTGTAAAGGGTTGTTGTAAATAAGTTATATAAAAAACATATGTACCACTGTATTCTACGGCTCTTTTTAGATATGTTTACAAAATTTCATACAAATTGGTCAATATTAAGGGTACAACCACAGACCTACAAACAAAATGGACTGGCCTTTCCCATTCAAAATACACAATGTTTTGTTGCCAAGAACGATTTAGATTAGGGGTAAAGGAGTAAGGGGAGGGGTGTTTATAAACAAGTTCCCACACCAGTTGCGTTCTGTTTTTGGGATCATAATTTAAATAAAAATATTAAAAATAAATAAAAACATTAAGTTGTATATATAAATATATAGGTATAACAAAATACTAACCTTGTCCAGATGATAGAATCCAAAATTTAATTGAATTCATTTATTTATTTATTCAGTTTCTACGCCCCTGGCAGGGTTTGTTTTGTAAATAAACTAACCTATGAAAAGAAAGTTTTAAATTCTTGGATCCAAGTCTTTTACAAACGTAGCACTGCTTCACCATTTTTATATCACTCACTATTGGTATTTTTCACTATAAAATATTAAATAAGTTGTGGATTCCAAGTATCTTTTACGTAAAATATAGATACTTCAAAGCAAATAAAGTCAGATGTGACAACCGAGGGAAAATATTTATTTTTGTTCCTTTCCACTCTTTTCAATGTAAATAAACCGGTCCATTTGTTTGTAGGTCTCCCTCCGTAAAGGGTTGTTAAAAATTTTTTAAAGTAAGTATATAAAATTTCATACAAATTGGTCAATAATATATTTGCAACCCCCTGTAAAGGGTTGTTGGAAATAAGTTAGGTAAGAAATATATATACCACTGTATTCTACAGCTTTTTTTAGTCAGTATACAAAACTTCATAAAAATTGGTTAACATTTAAAAAAGCTATGAAAAAAGTTCGTTTTACCATCAAAATTGGCAACTGTGCGACGGCGGCAAAACGGGCGGTTCAACATCGGCAAAACGATAACCAATTTCCGGAGTCAATCCAACGTCGGACCGACGTCGGCAACTGATAATCGGTTTTTGACTTAGCGACGCGTCGCGTCGGTCCAACGCCCGCGGCATAAGTAATACAACTCACCGCTGCTTACTCAGGCTAGCTAAGTATAAATAGGGATGGGTTGAAATACTTAGTTGGAGGTGTGCGTCTGTGATGGCTAGTGATGGAAAAAACGGTTTCCAATCCGGAACGTACCAAACCGTTCCGTTCCTAAAAAATCACGTAGGGTAAATGATTTCACAATACATGCGAGTGGAATCCACGACATGACGTTGCTGGGCTACATTTTGTCTGGCGCGCCTCTTAGTTCTGTTGACCGCACCATAACAAATTTAATATCAAATTTAATATTGTAACTTTTGCTATACACAATAAGGTTTAAGGAGGTCCCTACACTATCAATATTATTGCACAATATGTTGTATTAAGCAATTGTGTTAACATTGTGTTGACAATATTGCCTAATTTATTTATATTGTCTGATTGCCTAGGGACAATAATCAATTTTTTGTGCAGTAATATTGAGAGTCTAGGGACCCCTTTAATATACAAAAACCTGTTGATTCCTTGAATGTTTTGTCTATCTCTAATAAAGATTCTCTAGTAAGAAAAAACCTTCTTAGTAACTTTTGGTATTATAGTTTAATAATTGTACAATATTAGGTATATTGGATTCCATCTACCCTACCTAACAAACTTAATTTTTTATGCACCGTTCCAGCGGAACGATTCCACCCGCCTCGTTATATTGGTTATATGCACCGATAAAGTTCAGCTCAAGTCGGCGCGCCGCGAAAGTCGAACAAGAAACGAAACGAGGTAACAGTGCCTTTAAACAGTTCCGACGTTCGTTCTGTTCCGTTCACTCATTCGATGGTCGGATTCTCTGTTTCTATTCAGTTTGATCCGCTGTCACATCGTTCCGATATATTTAGGAACGTTCCGGCACGTGATTTAAAAATAACGTTCCAAAATCACGTTATCAAAATCACGACCCATCACTAGTGATGGCACAGCTGAATAATAATATTTGTCCCGGTCAACCATAAAGAAGAAGAATACCACAATAATATACCCAGCCAATATAAAAGAATACGAAAAGTTGAAAGAGTTCCTCAAAAACCAAGGCTTCGAAATGGAAGAAATTAAGAAAGAGCTAAGAAAGGAGAACGAAATTGAGATCGATTCTTAAAAACACCTTCAGACCTCTTTAAATGGTGATAGTCTCTCCGAACATCCCCATCCAGTGGCTGAACGAACACGCCAGATTTATACTCAATACAAAAGTGTAGTGGGAAAGACGACGGAACGAAATGAAAGATCACGCAATGCCACCGATGCCAAGGATGGGGACATGCTACAAAACACATCCCACACCTGAATGCCCAAAAACAAAGGAATCCCCGGCACTATAGTGCATGAATTGCAAAGGCGACCACCTGGAAAACTCCGCGTCTTGCCCAGTATACCTCTTCAGAGAAATCTGGCGAAATACAACTGCACTTCCCAGAAGTTTATACGGGCCCCAGCACCAATTACCAACCATTGTGGGCCGCGCAAGAAGGCAGCAGCTGCCAGATTTCAAACGCGGCATTTTGTTTTTTGCATTATTATTTAAAGCTAGGTTTTTATGTAACTTATGGAACAAACTATTTTCTGTGGGTTTTATATATATCGAGCTTTAAACAACAATGCAGATGAATTTTCCAGGTTTTAGATCTTTAAACTGCTCGAAATCAGGTTTTTGGACTTGTCCTACTTTGACTCCGAATTACGAGAACATCACAATCAATCTCACCGATAACCTGTTTGTGTGTGGTGTGTACAACCCGCCAAGCAACAAATTTAGCACAAACGAGCTAGATTCTTTGACAAATAACAGACGCAAAATCATCATCGCATGTGATTTCAA